CCGCCCTCTTCTCCCTTTTCGCGAGTGAATGAATTATCAAGAGAAAAATGGTTCGTATCGAGTCAAATCATTCTTCTATAAAGCGGTTTCCTTTCGAGAGCCCCTGTCGTCTCATCTCGCGATAATATCTCGCGCCGTCGCGGCGTCAACTCTCAACAGAATATAATCGATCCGTCATATAATCGAAATCTATTAGTACACGAGAAATGCGCCCGAGCCACTCGGGATGCCGGAGGATGATATATTAAGCGTACATTTTCCCTAATCCAGATGTCATTAAAACAGATTATCTACATGAATTAATATGCAAATTAGTTGACGCGTCGCTGAGGCACGTACATACATCGCGCTCGCTCCCGTATGCGTGCCTGCCCTTTGCCAAAGTTATAACGTTACATTAACACTTGGAAAATTTTCATATCATAATTAAAAAGTTGAGCAAACATCTCGCGGCATATCATACCGGCCGCGGGACGATAAAGCGCGATTATCCGCGAGCGTCTCCGCGGTTACGGAGCATTAAACGGAAATATAATATGCAATTTTGCGAATTTGTTTCGTCGGTAACGAAGCGTATCGCGGAATTTCATTTCGTGGCGCAATCAAGAACAAAGGTGAGACCCGTCGTAAAATAATTCCCCGCGGTAGCGGCGCGAGGATCTCCCCTGGTATATATCGCCGCCGATATTTTCTCTATAATCCAGATGTCACCGAGGCCGGCTTACCTTCGCCAATTAATATGCATATTAATGTACGCACTGCGGTGCCGTATGCCGCAGCTACGCCGGCGATTGTGCGCGTGTCTCTGTGTACACAAGTGCATAATACCGTGAGCCCTTGAGAAGTATTTAGTCGTAGGCCAGGCGTGCGGAGCACACCACAATGGTCCATGCCGCGCGGAAAGATGCGGCGACGATAAATATCCAGAGGCCCACTCGAGCAGCGCCTCTTATCCGTCCACTTTGGCCTCTCGCGCTGCATGCATGCGCCCTGCGCTCAATGTGGCCCTTCCCTTTTGTTTGGCCCTCGAGCCACCGTGAAAACCGACGATGAACCAGCTCTTTCGCTCCGTATTTCAGACAGACAATCACCTGGCGCTGACTCCTGCCTGAAATCGACACTTAAACCCCCTTTCGGTTGTGCTTACCAGCCAGAAGAGAGAATCTCTCTCTCTCTTTTTTCATTTCTAGGAAATTTTCCTCTAATCTTGTCCATATACATACATCTTGCTATGTAAAACTTACTCGTAAAGTTCTCCAAAATGCCACATTGTCTTCGGCCAATTCTAAGAGCATAGTATTTTGCAAACGTAATCGTCAATTCATCTGTGATTTCTCAAATTATTATATTATTAACATCCATTTTCCCGACAATAACAACGCATTCGAGTGAATCCTTATTCGCAGCGAGCTATCTTTCGTTATTAATACATATTATTCGTTTCTATCGCACGTGTTCTTTTTTATTCTCAGCTAATTGAATCACACGGGCGAACGACTCTTCGGCCGAGTGTTCTCCGCAATAATTACAAAAGCGAAACGCATTTATGCTCGCAAGTATATATTATTCACAGTCCGATAGCCATCGAAACAAACATCTGCAGTAAACAGTAATCGATAGTAATAAAACGAAAATTGCAACGCGCGATATCGTTACAATGTTTATCGCTCGTAAGCGCGTGCAGCGCGTCAACGAGCACTTTAATTATTGCAATTCTCAATGTCCGTTCCCGAATATTTTGCGTGTCGCTGTGAAAAAAAAGAGAGATTCAGCTGTACAAAGTTGACGCAACCTTTGTAAAACTGCACTCACAGAAAAGATTTCCGGATCCAATGCTATTACGACCATCGTAAAATAGGATCGGTATAGCGATCGAGAAAGGAAGTTTAATCTTAAATGGAAAATTCTCATAAAGTGTTGTCCGACGATTACACGATTTTCAGGATAAATCTTTAGAGAAAGAATGATGTTATAACACATCGATAGAAAGAAACTTGTGTGTGTGTGTGTGTGTTTTTGATCGCATAAGAATTGAGGCTGTCATAAATTGAAATATATGAAGAATATGTTTCGCCTTGTTATCAGAAAAAAATCCTTTCTGAGAGACAGAACCTTCGAAACTCGACGTCTGGAAACGATACGAGACGTCGGAGGAATTTTTAAGCGGACTTGAAATATTACCGTCATTTTAAAGATAAGTTGGACCATTTCCCGCGCGAGCAAGGAAGAAAGGAGAATTAAAACTCCGGAATGCTCCACTCAAGGATTCGTCCTTTCGCGCCTCTTACGACGAGACGGTCGCGTTTCACTCGCCTTTCATCATCTCCGTTTCGACCACAATCATCCTTCTGGCATACGCGCCCGTTTCCCGGGTTCGTCGCGGCTTTTCATCCCCGACGACCAAAGTTCCTTTTTCCCAGGGTCGCGGAAAACCGTTGTAACGACTTGAATTTAGAGCGCTCCGTGGTCCTTTCAACAAGAGCAAGAGGAGGAGAGCTTCCTTTCGACTTTACGCAGTGTATAAATGTCGCGAGCTCACACTAAATTTACGATCGTCTATCCACGGGAGATGAAACGCGTGCCAGGTGATCACCGGGGAGAAAGACAGAAGCGGGAGAAACCGCCGGAAGAGGGCCGTGAAGGCCGCGTTTAGCTTTAAACTTAATACAATAAGATCACGTTGCGCTTAAATCCTTGCGAGAGGCGAACGAGATTCCGCTTCCCGTGAAACTTTTTAACTTCAACGAGATTAACGTCCTCCAACGCGGCACTTCCATGTAACACGAGTGCATATCCGGACGTGTGACACTAGATACAAGTTGTTTGAGAACAACGGGCCGGGAAACTTTGCGAGGACTGTGCGCGATTTAACGATATTACGATAGCTAATTAAATATCCAGGGGAGATTTTGAGATCAAGCGAGACGGTTGCGATCATCCACGTTTCGCTCAACAACCGCTTCAATTTGCAGCTTTGTAATAAGAAGAAACGCACGCGCGATCTAAAGTAGAACAAATGCCGCGCAACGTATGCTATCTCTTTTCCTCAAAATGCTCTTAAGATCATCCGAGATTGCGTTCGATTAAACCCAAAAACGACCGCGTCCTCGGGAGCGAGTACCACTTGGAGGGACTTTGCATAGAACGCCGCGAGCATGCCAATCAAGCGTCCGCCTATCTCGCTGCTTTTTCTTCGTCGCGCAGCTTCCGTATTTTCACGGTTCCCAGCCCGTCTCATCTCCAATCAAGCGCGCCAGACATACATATATATATATCTATCCGGTTTCGGCTCGTAGTACGTGGCGCGCATCGGCAAGATTCATCCCGATGTGTTTGCGGCGATACCTATAACACGGAGAGAGAGAGAGAGAGAGAGCCTGCGGCCGTCTTCCAGAAATGCATCGCGGATTTACGCGACCACTAACGTGGATACATCGCGGTCCGTGGGAGCGCGTTATTCTCCATTACGCGCATCCCTATAGATTCGCCGTACGACTGTGTGTGTGTGTGTGCACGCGGTGTGTACAAATCGCCGCTGCAATAATTCAAGGTAGACCAGGATGCGACACGGCGCGACCTGATGCGAAAGCGCGGAAAGCCGGTTTTCGAAAAGCGACGCGATCCGACAACGGGAAGCGCTGTTTTTTGATGTCGCGTCGATTTTAATTGAAATTTTAACTTTTGCCCGCCGAAAAAACGAACCGGACGCCGCGCTCGAGCGGCTACGGGTATTTGCGTTTTCAGCCAAGTGAAATATCGGATTCGTGCGTGCGTGAGCGCACGCGGAAGTTTATCATGCGAGAAAACGCGTGACCGCCAGATTCCGGCTGATCAAGCAAACGAAGGGCCGCGCGTAAATCACGCCTTTGCGGCTTTATGGTCGCGACATCGCGAGTGAACCGCGGCGTTCCTATAAATCGCAATAGCAGAAGCCTCGAATTAACGGTACGCGGGGATTTGGACAGAAACATTTGTGCGTGATGGAGGTACCGAATTTATAGAGAGCACTCCGTGGATAATATAGATACCAGTTACACGAGTTGAGCAAAGTGAAAATTCCAAACACTCTGTGGCTTAAGTGAATAATTAGAGAAGCTCGGAAGTCTAATGTATGCATGAAAAAATTCATGCAATTGTTACATTCCTAGCTCGCAATGTCAATTCTAATTTCGTGTTTAATACATACTTTTCCTGTACTGGTAAATTTCATTGTTTCATTATCGCGGTTACGAACAAACTTTCCACTTTGTATTACAAATTTCCTTTACTCGTCCGTTGAATCTTTACATCGCGGGGATAATTTCAGCGTTAATATTTCAACATCCGATCGACCCAAGTAACCGCCAAGATAACGTTACGCGAGAATAAACGACATCAGGCAACAACAGACAATACGATACGGGAAAATAATCTGTAGCTGGAGAACTTGGTCGACGAACAATGTTGCGGAGTTTCGCGGAAGTTTGAAGCGACCAGGTTTCCTTTCCTCTCTCTCTCTCTCTCTCTCTAGATCTATGAACGAACGAACGTTTATCGTTGTGCGTCCTATAACGTCCACTTCCGGCCACGACAAACTTATCTAGAAGTTTACGCGCTCGTATGGCGAACGAGGAAAAGTCGATTGCCGTGGGCTTGGAGAGGCGGAGCGGGAGCAATGAAATGCCCCGAGTTTACGACGCACCGCACACAAGCTGCAGCTCCTTTCTGTTGTTCGTTGTGTCTTTCAATTTTCGCAATCGCACCCAGCGAACGTTGCCCCGTCGCCGTGCTTGTGCCCCGAACCTCGGGTCATTTCGAGAGAACAATGTCGCTGTATTTACGCTCGACAGTGTACGCCGCTTCCGATCAATTCAACCTTGTTCTCTTATTCGCGGCACGTTTCACGGACAAATTTGCTTGTGTATATAGAAAGAGATATATCGAAAAATGGTCAATTTCAAGTAGAAATTAGCAAGCTCAAATTTGTAGAGCGAAAGGGTAACATCGAAATAACAGCGAACCTTTTGATCCTTCTGCCAAATGCACTGCCCTCTCTTTCCGAGGACTCGACATACCAGCTTCGCGTCCTGCCCAGGATTGACCTCGGTGTATTGTGGCGTTTCCTCAAACTGCTGGATCCCGTGGCAGACTGCAAGCAATAACGTAGCAAGAAATCAAACTTGATTCATTATTATTAATTATTTAATAGAAACGCGTCAAGGCGACGTAAGCTTCGTTGCTCTTGGAATCGCGTCGCTTTTAGCCAGTCTTTAACGTTCAGTTTCTATTCTTTAGGAAAAATGGGCGGTGTGTGTTTTTTTCAGTCAACACTTAAGTAGAGAGACAGATGGTAAAGGCAGGATATAAGCACGGTTTAGCCGGGCATTAAGGCAGCCTGCAACCTCGTTAAAGTTGTTATTTAATTCGCAACTTGGCAAACTCATTTAACTCGGTCCGCGCTAAGCTACGATCTTCAGTTTTCACCTTTTAAGTTTGCCGATAAATTGTATTTAGCGCTAATCGAATGACGGCAGACGCGACGGTACCGCCGACTTCGATGCGACGACGCACGCAGACGTGTATATACGCGCAGGCATTAATCGCGTCTCGTTAGTTGACGTTAATTATTTCTCCGTCGCTCCGAGTGTTCTCCGGATGAACCAAATTTACCGGGTTTAATATCTAAATGTGATTAATCGCGTTAAATTACAAAGCTCGGAAATAATAATAAAGCTCAACGCAAACTGATTGCAATCCGTCGATCGTTAAAAAATCTGCATTGTTAGAATTTTCCAAAAGCGTTAAACAAGATTAATATTTAACGGTAAATTTCTCCCTTAGCTTTTTATATTTCATCTAATTAGATTCATTATACTTGACGCATATTAACTTGGCAATCTCAGAAATAACACGGTAATATATTCCGAATCTTTTCCTCATAATTAAAATGATAAATTTTCCAAAGTTAATCACTCGACACGCCCGCAGTGAAAAATTCACGTTTAGCGCACAGTGTTCGCAAAGTATTACAGCTTAGAAAAAATGCTAATTGTAAAATATTACTTAGCAAAAATGAAATTGTTAAATGGGAAAGTAACGTAAACAATTAATAAAAAATAAACATATCAATTTTGTACTCGTTGGACAAAATGTGATACGCGAGCGCGGGTACATTGTCGCTTTGCCGGGGGTATGTGAAAATTTCAGGATCGCAATGTACGCTTTTTGTCAGATTGCAGCGTTAAAAATTCAATTTTTCACCGTCCCGGAGATGATTAATAAAACACGCTGCCGCGTCGTACGCGGCTCGCGGAAATAACTTTGCAAAATTAACAGTGGGCGTATGGAACTCGCGCGATTCGCCGAGCATTGCAACAGTATTTACAAATGCGAAGGAAAAATAGCATTTCCTGCTTGATAATGCCATTACATTTTATGACGTTCTCGTCTCTTATACAATAAATGGAACAAAATTTTAACTAGAAACGTCAAATATCGATATACATGTTTCAAGTATCAAATTCCCGACAAATGTATCCGTATTAATTTAAATTTCAATGCCGTAATAATGCCGTGCTTGTGGATTGCCTACGAGTCCAACTACCGTTGTAATTTGACATTGCAATAGAGGTTCCTCATCCAAGTTTAATCGTCGCGACGCCATCGCGGCCGTTATCGGTGAAACGAAGCGGCGAGGGCTGATAAAAGCGACACACGGCCCCGAGAAAATGCCGGGCTCGAATAAGGCAAAACTCAAGGACCCCCGGCAACAGGTCCCGTAAAGTAAATTCGAGGCTTGGCGCTCCGGCTGTTAATTGTGTTTGTACGTCGAGGCGACGAGCTGTGCTTCGCGCGCGCGCGCAAATACACTTGGACCGAAATTGCAGTGCTTTCTATCTGCAATAATAATTACGGCTGCAGTCTTGAGTAAAGTCAAATAGATACGGACAAATTACCGCGGCGTCGGCAAGAGGATCGAGAGGCGGCAGGCGAATTGAAATTGTCCCGGCGCGCTAGTATAATATAATAAAAGTAATATTTTTTGCTGGCACGAGAGCAGAATTACAATACGAGCAATTTCATCGTTCGCCGAGGAAATGAACCGATAAGAGCTAGTGCACTTTCGAGATTTCATTCCGACCCCAAGGTCGGCGCCTAAGCACGATATTTTTTATTTAATTTCTCAGACTCTTCATCCCCTGCGACGAAGGGATTTAAGGCGCGAATACATTTCTACGGATAACAAAGGAAAGATTTATCACAAATTCTTGCCGCGTGTCCGGTGTAATGTACTACAACTCCGAACGCGGGTAACTAACTTTGTTCGCGCGTTGCAGAATACACCTCATTTTTGCGGAAATAGAGCACGCCCACGTGCGCGCGCGGTCTAATAAATTCATTTTTCAAAAATTAAGGTAGGCAGTAGAAACGGATGTAATATGACGTTAAAAATACGTGGCTTATGAAATGTACACACAGAAACCTGCATTTCATTTTCATAACGTACTCCTCGCGCGCGCGCGCGATACCGTTCCATCTCCGTATTTTGCCAAAGCACTACTCGCCTTTTAATGCAGCAGTTAACGGACGCAACAACGCCAATTGTTTTATTTATTTCCCCGACTTTTAGTTAGATAATCTCTACATCTCTAGGAGAGGTTCAAAGAGGAGAACGTCGCAGCACGTGTCCAGGGCATTTCCGTCGATTTCACGGGGATTCCCTGATTCGGCCAACTTCCGAGGCGGCTTGGCACGGACGCAAAATCCACCGCCTGCCGCGATTCCGTTAATTTCGTTTGCAATTCCAGGTCGGCCCTCGAACGCGCTGTGTCGAGGGGATGGGGGGGAAAAAAAAAGTTTCGGTGGCGCCGCAAATTTGCTTTGCTCGCACGAGCGATATTCGAGAGCGCGAGGGAGGGAAAAACAGCCGGCCAGACAGACCGACGCCGAAGGATCTAAAAAACACGGCTGCTGCTCTCTTTCCTATCCTCCTCTGTGTTCCTCGCTTAAATAAATAAATCCTAATAGACAAACGAGCCGCGGCACAAATAAATTTCTCAGGATAAATCTTCTTACACTTAATTAAAACCGTATTAAATAAGCACGGGCGAATTAAAATCATATTAATTAAATAACGACCGATCATTCCTATGTATCTCCGGCGCGCTCTTTTATCACGTTCGAAAATGCGACAGAGTACCGGAGATGTGGAAAATTATAATATCAACACGGACGCGCGGAACTCGATATTCTCGTTCTCATTATATTACGAGACGTCAAAAATTAACCCGATACGAAGGGAAGCACGTGGCTACTGGCGCTCGCCTCGCCTGCATCGGCGAAGGCCGATACGTACGAGATTGCATTTCGCCCAAGTTACACGAATTAATTAAGCGACTTAAATAACATGGCGTGCGCAGCGCGTGGTATCTGATACGCGGAATTACTTTTTTTTTTTCAAATGCAAACGATGTCGGTTAACCGGCCAATTACACGGCCGTGCCACACACGAAAAACCTCCTGAAAAATGCAACACGCGGAAAATGCAGGGAAATGCAAACGGTCATTGTTGTCGCCGTCGACCGACGCGTTCGCGATGCTAAAGTAATCGCGGTGTGCATGATCGCAAAATAACTTTCGTTTAGAAACGCGCTCTCGTATGCTGCCGTTTTATTGCCGCCACGGCATTTAAATGCGAGCCGAACGTCAGGGATGAAACTGGCTGTCGAACTCCCGGATAATGCCCGTGGACACGTCGGGCCGCGGCATAATAAATAATACGTCGCTAATTTGCGCGAAAGTCGCCTTCGCGGAAGACGATATCGTGCCTATCGACAGCGCGTCTAGAGAGAAAATAAAAATAGGCGAACGCCTTTTTATCGCGGTTCTCTCGCGGACTCTGACGAGAATGGAAATATCGATCACCTCGCCGTCGATAATGTGGCTCTTTCGACACCCGCGGAACAGATTTCCGGATACAATGCTTTCAATCGTTGGACAACATGGCATTTCTAACAATTTTATGAGGTTTTAGAAATTTTACCATACACCTAAGGACTCCCTTCAAATCAGCCCCAAGCGAGATCATCCTTAGGTACAGATAGAGGATGAGAGAGTAAAATAGCGGAAATATATTTTTGAAATACTCGTCGAGAAAAATAAGCGGCTGGCTGCGAGGAATAATTCTTGTCGCAATTACATTTAGCGTTGACGTTGACGTTAGAAATCCCGGACGTAAGAAAAGTTTTGCGGGAAAGTTACCGCGGACGCGACAGCGATCGCGAGCGCAAAACCTTGACGTTTCGCGCGTACACGATGTTGAAAAAAAAATCCTACGGGACCGGAATGAAAGCGCGAAATATCGGAGACTAGAGTGCGGGACGAGTCGAGTCACCAATATAACGCGCTTCTGCGATGAAAAACTGTCGCGATATATACAAGTGCACGCAAAAAAAATATACATATATATATGTGTGTGTGTGTGTGCGTGTATCGATTTGCCTTTTTTTTAATTTCTCATAGCAATCGCGCTGTCGTACGGAAAGAGGTGTAGCGCAACATTCGCCATCCGTGAAATCCAACCGTGGCTTGATTCGCAGAAAAAACAAGGAGCAAAATGCTGAGCGGGTACGTTTGCATTTCTCTCTCTCTTTAATGCAACGCAGACGTTTTGTCTACAAGAAATTACGCGAAAGAGAAATCCCTGCCGTTCTAGAATTAGCCCTCGAAGAATGAATTACTCGCGATGCAATAACGGCGTGAATGTACGAGTGAAAAATGTGCAATTGAAACGTTAATGTAGTCGCGCAAAATAACTGTAGGAAAATTAATTGCAGCTAATGAAAATGTATGCTTAACGAGAGCGAGACCGATTTGTTTTCATTGTCGGGCCATACGGCGAACAAGTGCGGATAAACACGCCGGGTGATTTCATTCGTATTTACCGAACGCGTGATCGGCGCGCTAAGCAATCATCATCGATTCGGCGCGAGGCACGCATAACTCGTGCCCGTCTCTACCGATAACCGGCTCGTGTATTAGCATCGGCGCGTCCCGGTGATTGTCAGTGAATAATTAATCGCGGCCAGGAACAAAGGCGCGCCACTCGAGATCTACCGGCGGACGTATGCCGACGGGCTGCAATATTTA